ATGATTACATTTGTTCTGCCCTGCATCTGTTTAGCTTGTGCTACTTGCTAGCTATTGTTCCTTTGTCATAAAAGAAATATGTTATCTGTACAAAGAAAGCATGAAAAAATAAGCACTTATAATAATAGCTAATATAATAATTATGATAGCTACTGTAATATAATACTGAATATTTCACTTACAGCGCTTTATATGTGTAGAATATGTACACACAAATCTAAAATTATATTTCTAAAATGTGTCAGTGGAGGAATATTTTACAGCAATAATGCTTCCCTGAATTGTCCTCAATGTCATTTGCATAATCCAAATGCAAACACTGTATGACCACTTGAAGACAATTACAATGTGCTTTTATATCTTTCATAGTCCTGTTTATCTGGGTAGCATATAACACAGAGCACACTAAATGAAAACTTAAAGTTGTCCATGTTGCAAAGTTGTCAGTGCTGCTCACATGCCATCTTCAGCCATATAGACCATAACACAGCTCAGCTTCTTTTGATCATATCTTCTCTTGGAAAGTATCACCATCATTCTCTGCTTCATTTTTGATATGTCAAATCTTGTCAAAATAATTATCAGCAAAGTGAATTAGATAACCTCCACATGAATTATCATGACAGTCTACAGAGAAAAATAATCATGGAAAATAAATAAGGATGCATATTGCAAAATAAGATCTAGGTTGAAAGCCATGCTTCTGTATAAGATTTAGAAATCACTTAAATTCTCAGAGACTTTTTTTCTGAAAAACAAGGCCACTAATTTCTAGCTCATATTATTTTATTTTTCCAGATGAGAAATAATAGCAGTTGTACACTTTTTTCTTAAATTCATGCTTTGAAAAGCCATTGAAAGTCACTAGGAAGAGAAGTGACTGTAGAAAGACATTGTTTCTTTCACTCCCCTTCCCTTTAAATATTTGTGATATGTTTGCCAGGCTCATGTGCATGTTCAATTCTAAATTTCAAATTAATATAGAAATTAAGCATTGTGTTGCTAATGGTAGTACAGTTAATAACAATATCTTCATAACTAATTGGATTGAATTACTCCAAGTTCAAAACTTTATGCAGCTGTCTCAGAAACAGCCTTGCAAAGTATAAAGAATGTACTGGAAATTTGTGGGCCTGAGTTCCAGAAACTTAAGTAAAAGATGAAGATGAGAAAAATGTTAACTCTGAGGTCCTCAGACTCTTGATGTGTAGAAATGCTTAGACTGGAGTAAGTGGATTTTAGGATTTGGTATTTTAGCATCATGAGAAAGTAGGGGTAATTCTCTGTGGCTGCTGAGAAGGGTGATTCATCATTTCTGCTCATCATATTTATTTAGTGCCATATTTACATGCAAGGGACTCTGTTTAAAATTGGATATTATGAAAATAATAACAAAATGCAGTTCCTTTTAAAATGAGAGTTTTATTTAGTGCACAAAATAATGTTTCATTATGACATTTTTATACATAAATATCACTGCACTTTCCTCATCGCCTTCTCCCCACTACCCTCCCATTCCTCCTGGCCCCTCTATCTCTGTTCCTTTTCCCTTCAAACAGTCCCACTTCTACATTCTGTCATATGCATTCCACACAAAAGAATCTACACAATACAGAGTATATCTTCTGCCCCTCTTATTACCCAGCTCTTGTCTTGCCATAACTTTCCATTTGTCTAGGAGAGATCACCATAATGTTGGAAGTGCCCTATACAGACAAAAATTGGGTCTGGGGAGTGTATCCTAAAAATACAGGAAAAAATGATAAAAGAGATCATCAGTTTGGGGTGATTTTTGAGGCTCTATCTGTTTCATCAAACAAGTTTATTAGGGAAATGAATTCCAGTAGAGAAACACAATTGAGCAAATGCACCAGCATAGGCCTCTGGAAAACCACAGTGCATTATTCTACAATGTATTAGTTAGAGTGAGTGCTGCAGTAAAAACAGCAAATGGGGGTTCCATTCATATCATTGAAATACTTAAAAAGAATGCAAAAGTGTCGTAATATGTAGACTATGGGTCAGGCTTTGGATGTTTTCAAGAACAGCCCAAGGTCACTTTAGCAGCTGCATTTTAGATAGAGTTGAACTGTAAAGTGACATCAAATCAAAATAATTCTATATTGATTTCAAAGGAGGGAGAAAAAACAAAAAATGTGTTAAACATGGTGTATGATATTAATGACAAGTGGATGATGACATTAGCGATGGAATAGAATAAGATCAATAACATGTCTTTAAAACAAAGAAAGCAATTCATCTACATAAGAAAGAAAAGGCAGAGAGATTGCTTAGGAAAGAAGAACTTGAAGAAAGCTTGCAAAGCCTGTATCACTTTTGAAAACAAAGATGGAGCCATCACTGAAAATAGGTGGTGTCTGATGTGCAGACTGGAAAGGGCTGGGAATTGTTCCCACAAGCAGAACAGGAGAAAAAGTCACCTAGAGGTGAATAAAAGAATTTCTGTGTAACTCTCCCTGTATACTAATAATAGAGTCAGAAACTTCAAGTTGAGCCAATTGGCACAATTTTGTAACTTTTTCTGGTAACAACCACCTGATAGTGAGATGAAAGACAGAGTAATGCAGTGTTTTCCCAGCATGAGGCATAGGTAGGAAGGCAATGATCATAACAGACCGAAGGGACTTCCTAGTGTTCAAAGTGACATGAACTGATGGGCAACTGATTCACTGGACCTACAAGAGAATGAAATAAAAGGTGCCAAATGAATGAATGACAGGCTCGGTGTGAAGAACTCTTGCACAGCCTATAAGAGGAAAAGAAACGAAAGATGTATCTAGCCAGCTAGGAAATTTCCAAATTCAGGATTTGATCCATAAGGTAGCTTTGAGCAATCATTGTTGCTCTACTTAAACTTGAAGTGGCATTCATGATCACAGTATTCACTGCATCTCTTTACCAATTACTAATTAAGAACAAGATTAAAGGGTTTTTGTAATTGGTTTCATGATTTAGTGGCAAAGAGCAATAACCAGAACCCAAATCCCAGGCACCTGGCTGGGAGAAAACATAAGGGATAAACAACTAATAAGGAAGAAAGATTTTTTTTAATCCATGGCTTCATAGATTTCAACCCATATGGTTGGTTCTGGTGCTTTGGAACGTGTAGCAAGGAAATGCATCATGTTAGTTACATATGACATACAAGGATACAACTTGTAGTAGATAGAAAACAAAATGAAAGGGAGAAGCCAGGGTCCTAACATCCTCTCTTCCAGGGTTATGCTCTCAATGACCTAGCTCTCTTCCAGTAGGCCCCACACGATAAAGCTTCCACCAGCTCCCAACAGTGACATGGACTGGGGACTAAGTGTCTGTAATATACACTATATTGGTAAATTGCCATGTGCTATTTAAGCTTACTGAAAGAGGACTTGATGTAAACAGGGCCCCCTTGCTCCAGGCTGTAGCATGTTTATTTCAAGTGTCCTCCAAAACTCCCTATCCTGTGCTGGTTGCTCCCTTACCTCTTTGACGGCCATAAAGGAAAACAAACAGTTAAGGGTATTAAAAATATTGCATATTTGAGGACAGGAATAAGGAAACATTTCTGACATAGGTTACTATTATCTTATTGTATAAAAATGACCGGTGGGAACTGCATGGTGGAAGTTCATTCATGGAGAGACCACTCTGCTCTGCTTGGAAATCTCTCAATCTGGAACTCCAGCATGACCATTTGAGCAGGGCTTTCCCAGTCATTTCTGCTGGATGTTGTAAGCACCTGATTTGATGATGTCACTTTTGCTTGCTCTCTCTATTGATCTGTTCCAGTAGTTTCTGCTGGATGTTTCAAGTGCCCAATTTTATGATGTTTTGCTATTTACTGCTTCTATCTATCTGCTATTTATCATTTGTTCTTTTACTATTGCTTGCTGAATACTTAATAATCTCACTTACTTGAGATCAAAATGCACCTGTCATAGTTCATTCTCCATATGGAAAGCATCCAACACACAGGTTTATGCAACATTTAGCACATACGCTATATCAGTCTTCAAGTACATGTATCTCTGGTTTTGTGTGGGAAATATGACTTTCACTGACAGCAAATTCAAAGTTGTGTTTTAGGGATTCACTCACGAGAGCACGTTATTCACGTCAAGCCATGACTTGCCTAGAGCACGTTATTCACCTCAAGTTATGACTTGCCTTGAAGTAGAAGAGTCAGGCTCCTGAACAATAGAAGTATTTGATGACCAGCAGCATTTGGAATTGCTGCTGCAGAGTAATGAGAGAAAGCAAACTGGATTTAAGTCAGTTTCTCAGATATTCTTAGCTTTTATATAAACAGTGCACCTATTAAATACATGCATCTAACCTGGACAACTTCACTCAACTCTTATTTGATTTCCAATTCATATCTAACATGCTATGAGAAAAGGAGCATTTTAAAATCTAAACCATGTGTCCATAAACAATGGCATATGGGCTAAATCTAATCTTCTGCCTTTTTCATAAAACTTTTTGCTACATCCGTTTACTTTATTGTCTGGGACTGTTTCACACTATAAGTCAAAAATGAGTAGTTTGGGGGCTGGAGAGATGACTAAGCATTGGCTGCTCTTGCAGAGGACCAGGTTTCTGTTCCCAGCACCTACATAGTGGCTAACAGCCACCTGGAACTCCAGTTCCAAATCCAGTGCCCTCTTCTGACTTTCACCAGTATTGCAGGACACTGGTACACTTACAGGCAGGCAATACATTCATACGTATAAAAGAAAAATAATTGTTTTTAAAATGAGTAGTTGGAATAGAAATTTCATGATCCTCTACCTCCAAGTATTTTCTGTTAAATCCTGGACATAAATATCCTAACTTTTTATGTAAATACTTCAACGGGAATCAAAGCACTCCTCACAAACAAAACAATTGTTTGTCATTCATAGTATAAGTTAGTCATTTTAATACTTGTCTTCATTAAATGTTCTCCATTGACTACCATTCAATTCACCTGCGGACTTCTTTTTCTTTTGTAGTCCCTGCTATGTGGATATTTGTTAGCAATGACTGATGTGGAAACTACATATGCAGATTTCATTGCTTCAGGAAGAACAGGTAGAAGAAATGCAATACACGATATCCTGGTTTCCTCTGCAAGTGGTAACAGCAATGAATTAGCCTTGAAATTAGCCGGTCTTGATATCAACAAGACAGGTGAGTCATTTGATGCACCTCTTTCTAGGAACATAGGATGATCTGGGACATTTCCCTAAGTGGGATTAAGGCACACACACACAAACACACACACACACACACACACACACACACACACACACACACACACACACGCACACACACACCTTCTTTCAAAATCACCTGACAGAGTTACAAATAGTCCGGGGAAAGATAAAGGTCTCCAACTAGTTTTTTATACCATCTTCCTGTTTTAAATGATTTCTCTCTACAGAGTTTCCTATCCACATGCAAACATTAAAACATGTGACTTTTTAAAAAATTCTAATCACTACTAAAGCCTTGAAATTGCTTATGAAGAAATTTAAACAAAGTTGGCTCTCCTGCCATGGATAGCACTGGCCATCTCTCACATTTCACAGAGACTTAAGATTCACAAGGGAATGAGACAAACCTCTGTATTCTAAGAACCATTTCAAAAGAAAAGGGTCCTAGAACCAATTTTACTGAGAATGGAAATAAAAATCATTTGTTATATAAGTACTTCTTAGATAAAGTGATCTTTTGGTTTTCTTTTCACGACTGAACGTATTTGTGAAAATGTTTTGGTTTTTTTTTTTTACTGATCAGAGTCATCTGAATTTACTACTGAAAAAAAAAGATTAATACATTAAAATACTTGATATTCTTTATTCTTAGTGTTAGAATTAGTCATTTAATATTTCCTTCATTTATAACTTCCACAAGTTTCTTAAGAATATGTACAAAAATGATCATTTAATATAAAAGAATTCAAAATTAAAGGAACCACAATGCTGTTTACATGAAAAGGCACTTGTGAAAAAGCATTTAGAGATTCTGACTCCACTTGTAACATTCAATATAGCCTCACACTTACAGTTTATCTGAGACAACCTAAAGATTGTTGGAAACTGAGTCACTATATAATGTGTTAACACACAAAAAAAGAAAATTCCATCCAGTTACTAAAGGTCAGCAGATCAAAATCAGCCTTTCAATTTTAGATCAGTAATAAAGCTTTGACATCATGGCTTTGGTTTTATGGTGCCATGCATATTTAAGTCCTATAGCTTCTCCACTATTACTTCTCAAAGTAATGTGGAGAAAGACTGTAGAGAATTATTTCATTTTAGTGTCATAAAATAGGTAAATATATCTTCTTTTTTATTTGGAGGCTTTGCTAATATTTTTTATTAGAATTTTATTTTAATTTTTACATAAATATTCAATTTTAAATAATTGCATTAATTTTAGCATAACCCTTAATATTGAAGTATTTTTTCCTATGGTATAATTGCTTCTTTTTTCTCTTTTGCCTCTCATTAAGAATGGCTAGCTTCGAGGCATTCCTTATACAAGAGAACATATTAAATTATCATAAATAGTTTCAGTAATAATGAGATTTTTGTTAATAATAAATACAATAATTTTGTATTAAATACACTACAATTATATAGTTGAAATTAATTCAAGCATATTGATGATTGTGCATATCTTCTTTTCTAAACAATTCTGCACTCAAATTCCAATTTCTCGAGCTCTTGCAAAATCTTCTGTTTCTCTTCAAACCATAAAGTGTACAACTTGCCAAACTATTAACAGCACTGACTTTATTTATTACTCCACATGTAAAAAGCAGTAATTATACAATATGCAGTCTAATCTATAAAAATGACATACATAATAACAAATTTAATACCTCTGAGGATGGGACAGATTTCCTTCAAGATTTCTGTTTCTACTTTTTTGCAGTATTTACTCAGCAATTCACGGCTCCATGATTAATTAGCCAACATTTCATTAGCCACATCTGTGTTCTCAGTAAAAAGCTAACCCCTGAGAAGTGTCCCCAGACCAGGAAGCCCCAGTCCTCATGGGGATCAGAGTCTTCATCTGTATTTATGCAGTCACTTTCATCCTTTACTAGTGACTGTCTTCCATGTGCCCTAACATGACTTCCTCTTTGGGTATCAAGAACTTCTTCCATTTACTGGGTTCTTAGTCCATGCTTATCTAAACATCCACAGTCCACATCATCTGATTGCCTAGAGAGCTTCTTCAAGACTCTAATAATACAGAATGATGTATGACAATTATATACAATGCCTAGTTATACTTTGATAGTACTTTAAGATGAAGACATGGGATTTTTTAATGTTAAAGAACAGTTTTTAATTTTTAAAAAAACTATCACTGGAGTATCCTGAGACATTTTGTACCTACATTTTAAAAATGAAAGCTAAAAGAGTGGGCAGGATGAATCAGACAGTAAAAACATTTGCTACACAACTGTGATGACCCGAGTTCAGTCCCCAGATCACACAGTGAAAGAACAGACTCTTGAAATTTGTCCTGTGATGTCCACATGCGCACTCTGACACAAATGGGCTAAAACACACACACACACACAATCATAATTAATTTTTAAAGAGATTAAGGATAGAGTCAAGCATCTTGGTACACACCTCTAATCCCAGCTCTTGGGCAGCTAAGGCAGGAGACAGTAAATTGTAGGCCCGCCTGGACTACCTAGCGAGTCCTTCTTTCATAAACAAAGAATAAAGGATAAGTACTTTTAGTTTTACATTTTTAAAAATTAGCGAGTCCATCTACCTTCATACACTGAGTTACAATAAACTCTCAGAAAACATTTCATAATTCATGTATTGCAACACCCCAAAATATTTTGTCCACAAGATCATCTTGGTTGTAGTAGACAAGTGACAAATGCAGACAATTTAAGGACTGACTACAGCTTTCACTCATGTAAATGGCCTAATGAAAGCATTGTCCAATTTCAGTGTTTACTGTCACTGACTAGGATTGCAGGGGGTACAGTGATGAGGATTGTTTGACTGGAATTATGCATACATTCTTGAGGGCAGACCAGAGACCACTGTAACTCTTGGACAAGAGACTAACCAACTAACGAACATTCTTTTTATCTCCAATTCCTATTTTTAATTTTGAACTAATAAAATCTCTGAGAAATCAGATGGATTATCCTTAAGTGCTATAAATAATGGAACATGTAAATTTTAAATATTTCTTCAAATTAAATCTTCAGAACATGTTCCCACCTCTGCTTTCTGTAGCCTGTGCAATGACTATAGTGTGATGAGCTGGCCACGAGATTCCATATTCATCAATAGCACAGCTATGACTAACAATTCTAATATTTCACATGTTATTTATTTTTGACTCCCATTGTTCTGATGTCACAGAAAATACCAGACTTTGGATGCTTCTGTTATTTTCTTGATAGTGAACTACGAAGAAAATGCACTTGTCTCTATGAGAATTCCAGACTTTGTGAATATGTCTGAAGTCTCCAATATGATATGTTGAGAGTCAGTAAGCACAAGCTTTTCTTTGATCTGTTTTCCTTGTCTCTTACAGAGGGTGAAAATGATGCACAGCGAAGCTCCACAGAACAAAGTGGGGAAGCCCAGGGTGAAGCGGCAAAATCTGAAAGCTAATACTCCCCTTTGACCATCAGGAACGCCTTGCAATGTGGCAAATCTCCAGACATTGCCGGGATGTGTTTCTTGCCATGAATGAACCGGGAGAAAAGGAAATGGCTTTACTGCCTCACAGGAAGCTGTCTGTTGCCATGTTAAAAGTGGAGGCAGAGCCTGTGGCTGCAGACAGACTTTTCTCTACCTCTGTCATTAACAATGGTTGAAATCATCTGGCCCATGTTTGGATGTCATTTCTGTATGGGTCCTTGCACTTGACCATATAATGAAATGCTAGTAGAGAGTAGTACTGACCTAGATGATGATTCCTGTAGCATCTGGTCCCTCACGATGTCAGAGGATTTAATTGTGTCTAATTGCAAAGGATTGGTTGAACCCAGAGTTTAAATATCTCTGGCTGGAGTATTCACCCAGTAAAAGAACCATCCAGAGAGCACTGTTTTAGCATTATGTCCCCATGTGTTACTACTGTGTTCGTTACACTGTTTTGTATTGTACAGTATATCTGCTCAGCACTGCCCCTACTTTGATTGCTTATGTAAAACAAAATGATGTACATTACTGTGAATTTTTATACCACTCATTTTTAAAAGGGCTGCCTTTTAAATTTTCCATAGTGTCGTGGCGTGCACAAGGCAGAACACACTTTTGTAAAACACTCTCTTTCCTCCCAATAATTGTATGCTGATGATTAAGTCCAACAGACTCACCAAGACCCCTTTGCTTTATTATTCAGGCATTTGGAAATGTCCATTAATGTGAAAATTGCCTGAATTCAGTCTTTTTCATATCTGCACAGACCAGAACTCGATCTGTCAATATCATTTTATTTCCAAATAAGGAAATTCTCTCGACTAATATTTTATTCTTTCATTATAAGAATTTTTAAGAATTGAGAAATTAGAAATGGGAAGCCAGATAATGCTAAGAACTGGAAATGTTTTGCTCTGTGGAATCAATTTTCTCACAATGATGTGTGCCACTGTTTAAATTGGGAAGACAGCTTGAGTCCACCAGGCTGAGCAGGATGGAGAAAGTACTGTCCTCAAAACCATGTGGACACCAATCACAAAAGTGGAGCCCTTGTATTGTGTTTGACCATGTCTTTTTTCAGCCCTTTCAAATCCAGATGTTGTTATGCAATTTTTAATGTTTGTAAACTTTTCCTAATAATTAGTGTGAATTGCATTAATTATCACCATTAGAACCTAGCTATAATTCACTGATGCTGTTGATGGTCTATGCTGTGTTTTGACATCATGATTCTTGTACGGACAATTTCTGTGAGCCATGTAACCCCTCTGGTCAGTATTATGAAACCATTTGTCAGTGGTAATAAATAAGCAGCCAGTAAGAAGATGCCCGTGGTTCATGAATTACAGGAAAAATAGCATGTAACAGGAAATCTTCACAACAAAAGATCCTACTTAGTGTCCTGGGAGGCATATCTACAGTTCCAGTTGAATTCAAGAGAGCAGACAATCTGTGTAGGTGTGACAGGAACTTAGTCTTTCATAGTTAGAATGGGTGAAAGGTAAGGTCTGCCCATACAGATCTCCCTTTGTGGTACTTTTTACTGACTGGGAGTATTTGAGTCTCATTTAGTCCCCAGCACATGTTAACACAAACTATATTAACGATGTCTTTCTGGATATAGATAGTAGATAGATTGAATTTTAGAGGACTTGCTTCGATCTGTCTCATCAGAGACTAGTTAAAATGGAAATAAATGTACCTGTTGATAGACTCAAATATGTGAACAGAAGCATCTAAGGCTATGTCAGACAATCTCTGATAACATGTTTAAAACACCCAACAGTTTTCAATGTCCTTGTTTAGCAATCCTAATAGCTTTCTTGTGAATATAAAGTTTTCTTAAACTTGTGATTTTACAAACTGGTTTCATGTGAGTTTTGTAAAGTTTAGAAGCAGTGCTGAGCATGTGTGGAAGGATTAGACTACTGTGTGATACACTATCACTATTGCATGTGGTGCCACGCTTGTCTTAAAATATAAATAGTGCTAAACTGAGAAGTCATATGGAGCTTTTGATTTAGTCTGACCTCTTACTGCTATTTTGTCTGCTATATTGAACCCCAGAGGTATTCTCAAGCTGAGAAGAAAAAAAATCAACTTTCTAAACAACCCTCTTTCTATAAATTTTGCTTGGCAAAAGTACATAGCATCTCCCAATTAGATTATTTTAATATCAGTGATTTGCAAGCCAATAATACTGAAAGGAATGACTCTTTAAGGACAGAAGAAAGGGGAGGAAAGTAAAGCATTGATCTGACATGATGTATTCGATGTTCACTAAATATCTCAAGCTAATCGCTTTCTAGAACCCATTCTCTCACTAACCAAGCACTCCATACACAGTTGTATCTGTAACCCCTTTCACACATTGGGGAGTTAGCCCAACTAAGGTCTAATGCTTGCAGGCTTGTAAAGCTAATAACTGATAGAAATTAAGATTTGAGTGCAAGTTTATCTGTCATCAAAGTTTTGATTTCATATTCCCTAAAATTAAAGCAAATTACACAGTATGTTTCTCTGTATATGTTTAGAGAGAGATTTGTTAAGCATCCATGTTTTAGACAAGGAAAGTGGGTTACAAAAAGGATTTTTTTTTCCTTGTGGTTTCCAAATGAGTCAGTGTCACATGAGGCTAAATGTGGATGAATTCCCCTCTCTTACTTTTCAAAAAATCAATTACAGCTTGTTTGGAGAATATACTTCTGGCGTGTAATCTATAAATTTAGCATATAGGTTTGTACTATACATGTGTATCATCTATATATACATTCTATGCTAACTCTGTTTAATTATATAGAAACATAAAATCTTCATTTTTTGACATTGACAATGATCATAAAATTGTCATATTTACCTTTTACCAACTCTGAGCATCTTATGTCAATAGATCTTCATCCTAAATTCATGGAACTGATTTTTCTACTTAAAAACAGAAATCACAGCCTCCATTTTTTAGGCAATACCAACACAGGGGCCCATTGTTGATGCCCTACCCCTGAATCTTCCTCAAACATGACAGCAGGGTGCCATTGTAGAAGGACAGCATTGCTATTTCTTCTCAGAGGAATGCTATGGGGAAACGATGTAACTACTGGGCACCAAAGCTTCTCAGTGAATTGCAGTGGGGAGAAAATGTATAATCGTTAAGTGAAAACGAGAAAAGACCCATAATTTATGATGTCTTGGTAGCCCAAAATTGTTCTTTAATTTTAAAAATGACAGCCTCAGAAGTCATTTGTGAGCTTATATGACCTTTGTATTTAGCAATGTTGCATGCTCACATAATTGATATTAAAAGTAGCATGCTTTTTCTGAAATGTAGTCCATCAAGAGTATTTATTGACTGTGTACTATGTACTATGTGCTAGAGAAAGGGCTGGAGGATATAAAAGAGCATCTTGAAGCCTTAGCAATCATGTGGTGGATGTTCCTAGCCCCTTAGCTCAACTTCCCTGGCTTTTACCACTGAAGTTCCCCTCCATTGTACTGGATTATCCCAGTTCCTGAACTCTGCCCTACAATAACCATCGCACTTCTTACACCTTAAACTCCAACTTCACACCTCTGCTTCTTACATGCTTATCTGTGAAAGAAAAGTGTTTTTCAAGAACTTTGAAAGTTTTTAAAACATTCTCCAGTTACCCACACATACATACATAATACTCATTTTTCTTTAAAATAACTTTCTCATGATTCTAGTAACTTTCTTCCCTCCCACCTACATTTCCATCATGAAAGATCATCTCATCTGAAATCTCAAGAGCTGAGGCACCCACACTGCCCCCTCCACTGAAAAGCTTTCAAATAAATCAGCAATGAAATGTGTTGTCAAAGACACTCATTTTTTTCACCATATTATGGATAACATTTGAGGATTAGGAGCAATTTGGGCAGACCTTTTATCTTAGTGATATTCTCTTTTAGTGATATTACTTTTATTTCATACAGGTAAGAAAGACCAAGCAGAAACCAAGGTGGGACTCAAACAATGTTAGACATCCCCTGACAAGCTAAAGCTAAAGGGCAGGGACAGTATGTGTGTGTGTGTGTTGGAGGGGGGTGGATTGTAAATATTCAAATTCATCTTATTTAGGCTACAAGAATAAAACACTGCCTGTGAAACACTGTCCCCGTATATTTCTTATATCTGTCTAATTTAGGATGTTAAGAGCAGAGATCCGGGTCATTTCTAATTGTGAAATTAAATTAACAATATGATCGGCCTGCAACCCACTAACTCTGTTGTATACCATGTCCTCGCATACATATTAAAAGGAGCAGTTCCTCCACAACTTCCTCTGAGGATTCTAACCTTTGTTTTCCCTTCAGTGCTCACAAGTTTTTTACTTTTTCATTCATCTCTGCCAAATTAAGATCAGCCAAAACATCTTTCCTTGTCTTCCTTTTGGATGATACTAAAAATATATAACAATACTTACTCATTGTAAACTCTTTTGACATGAGTGCCACACAGGTCTCTCTGAGTCCCTGAAGGAAAGAGAAGGGTCCTCCTTCCTGGACAAGAGTTATTCCTATTATTTATTCCCATGACCCTATAGGAGACATTTTACTTTGTACTAACTTTACCTTTCCACATGTGTGCTCAGGTTTTCATGGTTTTTCTTTTTATTCACTCCTCACAGTTCCCCAAATAGTCATCTGTACTTCATTTTCCCACATTTCCTCCTGATCTCTCACCCTTCTGCAGTTTGACTTCCAGTTAAATTTTTCTCAGCATTGACAACATGGTTAGTAGGTCCTGGACACTTAATTGTCACTGAAGTCCTGGCCAATGCAGAAATCAAGAAGTAATGAATCGGAGGACTAAAATCAAATATGCTTTTGTGCTTTCAACTGACATCCATATGTCAAAGTGTAGCATCAACAGTATGTTTTCTTCAAATTAGAATAGATATATGCCAAGAAATCCTTTTTCTTTCCAGCATAACACATTCACAAATGTACACATTGCTTCTCCATTACCACAGTCTCCCCATTGTATTTGTTGGCTGCATCCTCAGACCTATGGTGCTTATTTCTTTAAAGGATTGTTGGCCATATATAGGGAGCACCGCCTCAAGCCTGACTATCCAGAGATGGCCGAGATTATCCTGTAACGTAGACTGTTGCATGCAGTTTTCCTGTGGGACAACAGCAATGATATCATCATTTCCTCTTAGGAGCTGTCACATGTGAGCAAAACCGCAGTCCTGCTGCACTCTGCTAAACACAATGCTCCATTTACTGTGGTAGAGCTTTTGAAAGTTTGTTCGTTTTATTTACTGGGTATCCCTTTCTAGCAACTCCTTACTCTTTTCTGGCTATTTCTTCCTTCTGTACTCCCCTGATAAACATTGTTCTTTCTTAGGGTTCTATTTGTTTGTTTGTAAACTTGAGGATGAACTGAGGCACCTGGCATCCCTCCAGCCCCTGATTATTCTTTTCTTCCCGTTTCCCTTTCACATTCCTACACCATCAACCATCACATTTAGCACAGTGAGCCTCATATCTTCATCTCTAGCACACAAGTCACTTCTGTTTACCAAATCTATTGCACGGATGACCATGGATTCTCCAAAACACCTTAGCTAAACAGAGTTATTTATTTATTTATTTATTTACACATTTTATTTTGTATAACTCCTGATCTATGATAGCATTTTTCTTGTTCTGAAAATCTTCCTATGCTTGTTGAAACATCTCACTAATTCTTCCAGATTATGCTTCATTTCATTCTTTTCCTAAAACTTCACAGTGTATTTGACTTATTTCTCCATGCTGAAATACCACTGTAAGAAATCGGCTGCCCTGTCTTCCTAACTTTGTGGTGTTTGGCTCCAAATGATTCTCATCATGTCATAGCTTTGTGCTTACATGTTATCTCTCCAACTTGTGAGCACTTCAAGGAGAGCATCCCTCTCACTTCATATCCTCATTATGTCAGACACCCAGTAAATGTTTATAAATTAAGTCTGTGTTCATAGTGTAGTTAAGAGAGAATTTACACATATGTCTGTTGGGCAAATTCAATTCAGAGATAAAAACTGATGGCTAAAAATGGTGAAATCTGTAACACGCCTCATTGCAAAAGAGAAAAATTATTTTATAATCAAATACTTTTTAAAATTTTTTCACCTCAAATTCTATACTGCATCTATATAGACAGATCTGATATGCCTTTCAGAAGTGAGATGCCAAAAGAACAGTATATAAATAAATGTGCAAATTAAGTAAGGCATCCAATAACTAAGACCCTTGTGAAGATACATCTTAGGTCTTATAGCAAGAATTCTCTCATGTTTACTGAATTAAGACTAGCCAGAAGTCAAACTTTGTATCTTTCTTTCTTGACCTGAACAGCACATCTGCCAGAGAGAGCACCAGGCTGTTGAAAACCTTGAAAAAGGATAATCTATACTTTCTAAGTCAATGTTTACTGAAATGTTCTCTACTAGAGTAAAGAAATGGGACTTCTGGAATGCATATGCCTTTAGTTCCAGCACTCCAGAGGCAGAGTGGCAGATCTCTATATATTCAAGATCAGCCTGATCTACATAGTCCCAAGCCAGCTATAGCTACGTTGTGAAACCCTGTCTCAAAAACAAAAAGCAAAAACAAAAACAAGAAAAGAGTGGAACTTCTAATCAGAATAAACTCAGTGGTAGAAAAAAGAAGAGAAAAACAATGGACTAAAGCTAAAGAATACAGGTTCATATACTCAAGAAATAAAGTACAATGATATATTAAAATATACAGAATATAATCTTGAAGTCCCTTTTACCAAATATTGAGTCTTTCAGAAAATACTGGTAATTGAATTAGCACTGGAAGTCTAACAGAACTAAAAGGTATGGTGTAAATGAGGATTGCCACAAGTTTGAGGCTAGCCTGAGCTATGTCACACTGAATATCAAGAGCTACAATACTCAACAAGACTCTATTTTTAAAAAGAAGAGAGAGAGGAAGAGTAAGAGGAAAAAGAGAGAGAAAGTAAAGAA